AGAGGTGGCATAAGAAAACCAGTAGCGTTTCCACAAATTTATACCGAGAACATAGTTTTGCCACAAGAAGCATTTAAGTTAGGGGGGGGGGGAGGGAAGGGATTTATGCCGCTTGTGAAAAAACACTGTTTATTTCCTTCACTGGTAGAAAATCTGGACTCATCAAGATTATGAGATCGGTTAGAATTATTATGTTAATCATACTTTTCAAAAAAACTTGTTAGGTTTTTCACAGAAAGAGAATTGTTTTATACTCTTGAAATTATTAAAACTTCTTTTAGATATATATATTTTTTATGTATTTAGGTGCTCCCAGAAGTCCTTACGGTCTTATTATAGAGCACCGCGGGAGTGCATTTAACAGGAAGTTCACGCTTCCTTCCGTACCAATGTCGCTTGTTGGGCTGGAGCTGGCGTCGAACCTCGGACCTCAGGGTTCTGAGTCAGAACTCTAACCACTGCGCCAGGGCTGCTCACTTGATATTAAAAATCCCTATCTTTTTTTAAAGCCTAGTAAGAAGTCGTCACCTGGCCCGTTACTATCCCAAAGAAATACTCTACTTACACAACTGTTCGAAAATTGGGTGACAATTGTTTTCATGTTTTTTTCGATTTAGTGGTCAACCAAAATTGGATGCATATTCTAATGAGGATACAATGTATTCCTCTTCACTAAAAGAAAAGGCTGTTGGATGCCCTTTACTAAGATTTGACTTTCCAGATGCGTGGTCATAGAGGGTAGTGATAGGAATGTTATATATTGATGCAACCGCACATATTAAAGCATCTGCTTGAATTTCTGCTATGGCTCGCTCAATATCTTCTGAAATATATAAGGCAGATGGTTTTTTTTCTTAAAATCACAAACCATTATGAATACTAAAGAAAAAAAATTATGTAAAATGCATATTTAAACACAATCAATCACCGTCAATCACAGTATAAAAGTTAAAAAGTAAAATAAAAAAACCAAGTAAAACAATGTTTATCTGTAAAAATTTAATTTAAGTATATTATTTGGTTTACTTGTCTTCTTCTAAACAAAACAAACGAAACCAAAAAGTTATTCAAGCTAAAACCGCATTCAATATTTAATGACGTTAATGAAGTTTAATTAACTTAATTAAATTAATTACTTATAAGTTTACTTATAACTTATTAAATCAATGCATAAGTATAGGGATACCGACCAACAACAACAATGTTCGGATTAGCCCCATTTTTTCAATGTCAAAACTCTGGCGAAATAGTTTAAATACGAAAAAAAGGAATACTCCAAAAAAAATTCTGCGTAAAATTCTGATATTAAAAACTATCTTTGTAAAAAAGTGCATAAAAAATAAATGGGTTCTTTTTGAAAAGTTTAAGCGTTAAAATAAATTTCAAAATTTATCTATTATTGGAAAACGGAAATATTTTCTGAAGCCGTTGTGTTTTCGAAAGAACAAATATCATATATTGTCATTTCACGAGTATACTTTATATGGAACAAGTTTAATCAGAACTTGATACTTCATTTTTAAATAATGCATAAAATAAGTTAGAAAAAAAACTGCTCGGATAAGCCCCATGTTCAGATCCCTATTTAATAAAATAAGTAAAACTAATATACAGTATAAAAAACATCAAAAAAAAGTTATTTTACCTTTATTGGTGGTGTGCATATCGAATTATATGAGAAGCGCGTGTCTGTTTTGCAATTTCCATCACTTGCAATATCTATTTTGAAAGTTTTATTACAAGTAGTATTGTCGTTAAAATTCGTTATATATTACACTTCAAGAAAAGATCAATTCTCCTGAAAAAAGTTCCTTTAGAAAAAAAGTGGGGGAGACACGTGTCTCCCAGCCCCTTTCCCCCCCCCTCCCCCGTGTCGTACGAAATATTATAAACTTTATCTTGTTTTGTTTTTTTAAGTTTTTCTACTTTACCATCATACATGACATACTTCAAATACTCAGTATCGTACCATTCATGGCAGAGTTTTCGCCCAAAAATTCTATCTGACATTACATCAACTAATTCAACAAGTTGTTTGGTAGACAATGTATATAAACTCTTTATTTCGGTGTAAATGAGTTCACGTAACTGTCGCTCTAACTATGGTCTGTGTGAATAGACCACATAACTACATTTTTTCTAGATAATTGATCTAAACTATCTAGGTTATTTAAAGTTTGATTCTTTTTTTATCTTAATTTGCAGGAAATATAACAAATTGTTGCATTAGGTGATCTAGCCTCACTAAATATTCCCATTAACTCTTCACTATCTATATTGTGAAGTCTTGCACTTGCTGTCTTCTCCTTGAGAATCTGGTTAATAGAAAGTGAGAAGTATCTCTTATATTGACGAATTAAGATCTCTTCCACTGCAATAAGGCAAGCAGAAATCATCTTGATAAGCTGTTCATACACCAAGCACAATTTTTTATTGGATTTAAATAATATGTTAAAGATTTTTATTGGATTTAAATAATATGTTAAAGGTTTTTATTGGATTTAAATAATATGTTAAAGGTTTTTATTGGATTTAAATAATATGTTAAATTTTCAAAAAAATCTGTTGTTGCTGCAAAAAAAGTGTACACGGACTTGATTTAGAATCTGTAACTTTTTGCAAAATAATTTTTACTACCTGGATCCCACTAGTATGGTCAAAACTTGTCTCCTCAACAGTCATATAAAAGTTTATCATCCAGGCCCAATAAGCAGTTTTACAAATAACGCAAACACGCACATTTGTTTTAGAGCTGTCTTGCTACAAAATACTGCTCTAAAAACTGTCTGAAGAGTTCTGCATTTTACTGTTTGGAGACGATTTCCTCGATACCTTGGAATATTACCTCGCAGTAGTTTTTGATCATTTAAAAAACTGTATAACATTTAACTTTAGTTGCAAAAGGATATTTTCAAACTAGTCTACAAAAAGAAAAAGTAAAAAAAAATCAACTAAAATTAATGAATAAAATCCAAACAATAAAAAATAAATAAAAAAGTGCAATTAATATGTTTGTAAATTTGTGCTACAAATTTACAAATTTAAAAAACTTTACAAAATAATAGAAAATAATTCTTTAATTAATTATACAAATAACTCATTTAATTTTAGATTGGTTCGTTCATCTAAATAACGAGTTAAATTAAAATAACGAGTTAAATAAAAATTAAATGTATTAAATTGTGAGTTAAGATAAATTTTAGTAAATAAACTATTAATGTTACTAGGACAACTATTGACTTTTAATGTTACTTGACAATCAATCAAGTTTAATTTCAATATCAATAATAACAATTAAAACTTGTTAATATCCTTCAAAAAATATATATATATAATTTAATATTTTATATATTGCAACTTACTCTCTTGAAGTAACTTTGACTTTGGATCACCTTCAAATAAACCAATAGCCATGAAACATTTAAAGTAAGGAAGTTAATATAAATAATTATAAGCAATTATAACAAGTTATTTGAAAACAATTTAAACAATTATAGCAATTTATACAATTACAGCAATTATAGCTATAAACCATTATAGCAAGTTATTTTAAATAAAAAAACAAATAAAGGAAAACACATTTAACTAGTTTTATCAACAATCATTTTGATTGTCATAACTCATAAACTAAAAAATATTATAGACATAACTTATAAACTAAAAAATATTATAAATGAAAATAAAGTTAAAAAAATGCAACAAACAAATTATCAAACATTTATTTGGCATGTACAATATAAAGATTTTGAAAAGTTCTAATTAATTTATTTCCTAGGTGTAGACAGAACTAAATATTACATAAAAGAGATACGAGGAGAAAATAAATTCCATTATATTATATTACATATTAAACTCATATTGCTATATTTAAAAAAAATGTGAAAATTCAAACAAAAAAACGCCTTATAATGTAATTATTAATAATGTAATTTATACTCATGTAAAAAAGTTCTAGTTATTAAACTTACCAGTGGAAGGAGTAGCAGATGGGACTAAATATTACATAAGAGAGATTAATAAACTTACCAGTGGAAGGAGTTGTAGATAGGACTAAATATTACATAAAAGAGATTAATAAACTTACCAGTGGAAGGAGTAGTAGATAGGACTAAATATTACATAAGAGAGATTAATAAACTTACCAGTGGAAGGAGTTGTAGATAGGACTAAATATTACATAAGAGAGATTAATAAACTTACCAGTGGAAGGAGTTGTAGATAGGACTAAATATTACATAAGAGAGATTAATAAACTTACCAGTAGAAGGAGTTGTAGATAGGACTAAATATTACATAAGAGAGATTAATAAACTTACCAGTGGAAGGAGTTGTAGATGGGACTAAATATTACATAAGAGAGATTAATAAACTTACCAGTGGAAGGAGTTGTAGATAGGACTAAATATTACATAAGAGAGATTAATAAACTTACCAGTGGGAGGAGTTGTAGATGGAATTAAATATTACATAAGAGAGATTTAAAAAAATTCATACTATTATAAAAAAACTGAGATAAAAGAAAATAAAAGCAATCTCCCAGCAGGCACAAAGACGTTAAAATAACGCTGAAACAACGTCGCAAACCGACTATATGCCACGTTAAAACAACATTGAAATTTGGTTGAATTGGAAATAAAATCAGACGTTGAAAACTACGACGTTGAAACAACGTCGATGATTACGTTGTTTCAACGTTGTTCTAACGTCTTATCGACTACATATCAACCATATTTCAACTTTGAATAGGTGATATTCGGTTGATACGACGTTAGAACAACGTTGAAAAAACGTTGATTTTAAATTCAACGTTGATTTTTGTTTTTTATTTTGGTTAAAATTCAATCAACTAAAAAATTTACTCAACTTTAATTGCAATAAAATAACACAATAAAAAAGCAATAATTTGCTCAGAGAATATTATATTTCACGTAAATTAATCAAATACAACTAAATTGCTTCAAGGGACTTTATATACAATGCAAATAAAATAAATTGTTTGAAAAAAAAAAAGTTTTATTTAACAATAGTTCCAGAACAATTAGGAAAACGTATGAATGTTGTTTTGTACCAACCACCACTATTCGATCTGTCGAGTGCATATTTTAATAAAGTCATTATTCGTTTTGCCTATTTCGGCAGCTGTAGCAGTCGCTTTAATTGACATGAAGCTTTTTATAAAAAAAAGGTATTGCCTTAGTAATTTGCATTAAATACATAAAAAAGTTAAAAATAAAACAGTATCAAAGCAACGAACTCTGATTTTTAAAAATATATAATTTTACACTTAGCTTACCAGTAACAACCTTACAAATGTTTGTTCCTTCAAACTTCTCATAATTCTTACCGCCAGCCATATTAAATTTTGATTATAAACCATTGGTCAACAACCTGCATTGAACATTATTATTATCATTATAGTTATATTAAAATTTGATACATTATATATACATTATATATATATATATATATATATATATATATATATATATATATATATATATATATATATATATATATATATATATATATATATATATATATATATATATATATATGTATATATATATATATATATATATATATATATATATATATATATATATATATATATATATATATATATATATATATATATATATATATATATGTATATATATATATATATATATATGTATATATAAATATATATATGTATATATATATATATATATATATATATATATATATATATATATATATATATATATATATATATATCACGGGTGTTTCACGCAATGTAAAATTGGACCTTACGAGTTTAGCAAAAACAATTTCGGCATAAAAAGATTTTTAAAAATTTCGGCATATAAAGTATAAAAATTCAATAACTTTAAAGTAATGTTTTTTTTTCTATAAACGTTTTAATCTTCGAATTAAAAAAAATTTACAAGAACCATCTTTCTTTGTTAAATAAATATTTACCTTAAGCGAAATAAAAATAAACATTGTTAAAATATTTTAAATGATTTTGGATGACTTTTCTGTTTTTGGCGATTCTTACGGAAAACCTGTCTTGGGCCATTTAAGATTCCCTAACATAGCTACATGGTTGATGGTTGAAATTTAGAACACTTATCAATGAATGTCTATTCTATCAGATTTCTACGTCATTCGTGTGATTTTTTTACTTTAACTTAATTTTTAATGCATTTATATTTTTAAATTTATTTCTTTTAAATGTAAAATATTATTTTTTGATGGATGACGTGAGTTATTGAAATTTCGACCTTTTATGCAAATGAAAATATAAAAATTATTTTATTTACCTCTTTCTATGTTAGGGAATATGCTTTTAAACTAGGCATGTTTTACAACAAATTGTTTTTAAACTTGTGTATATTTCAAAGCGATGACGTAACTTTATTGCGTTACTTCTCTAGCTATTTACGAATTTTATTGAAATAACTGTTTCGATGAGACAAATTTTGGAGGTATAATGTAAACAAAGTTACGCGGAACTTTAGAATAACATTAGAATTCAGCAAGATTATGAAGAGTATTTTCGTTACAGAATGGAAATAAAACTAATACCAATTGCATGTACAAATATCAATTACTACTTATATAACATATACCAGTATATTAACTTAAAAAAATATATTTATGTCAATCCACAAAAACGAGTTTTTTATTGCCTTTATTGTTATTTATATTTATAAAAAAAATGGTGTGTTATTTTTCTACAGAAAAGTATTAATATTAATCTAAATGTAAAGAAATTATACGACCGAAAGCAAAAACAAATAAAAACTTTTTTTTTAATCTTTTTAAAAAAAAAGTTTTTTTTAAAAAAAATTATTATTTTTTGCGTATTTTTTTTCTCCCTCTAATTGTTGTGCCTATATCAGTTCACATTTGGTGTAAATAGAGTTTATATGTTTTCAAATTGGTCTAACTATGTTTATATTACACATAACTCAACAGAAATATAACTTTTCCGATTATTTTTGCTAAAAAGTACCATAAAAATTTCGAAATTTAGCCAAGTTCATCATTTATCGCATTTATTTGAAAATCAAAGCAGTCTTTGATTATTTCATTAAATGTTAAAACATAAAACATTTAATTGGTGTTCATATTCTTTTTACAGAACGAAATTATCTTGAATATTTCAAAAGTTATGCAAGTTTTAGTAACACCCCTAAAGTAATTATTTTGAAAAAATAACAAGAAGCCGTAAGTCCACCTTGAAACAGCCGCGATATATATATATATATATATATATATATATATATATATATATATATATATATATATATATATATATATATATATATATATATATATATATATATATATATATATATATATATATATATATATATATATATATATATATATATATATATAGATATAGATATAGATATAGATATATATATATATATATATATATATATATATATATATATATATATATATATATATATATATATATATAACATAAATAATTACTAAATTAACCTAATAAAATTTTAACTTGTTCGTGCCCCCTCTTACCACCCTCTACGGAAATCAGAAAAACAGAAATAAGGTACCAAAAATGCTCACTTTTATATCTGCTATCAGACTATCTGCTCAATTTTCCAATGAAATTTGGTAGGTAGATAAAAGTATATGTAAAAACCTATCTGGGTAGGTTTGCAAACTATCTAAGCATTCCTTCGACATTAATTTAGTGTGAGAACAACAACCAAATTATTAATGCAAATAAAGTCAATACGAAAATTATCAACCATATATAAATTTTACATAAAAAAGAAGTTAAACTATTCTGTTTTCGAAAATAATCTAAGTTTAGTTTTGTTTCTAAAAAGAAACACCACAAAATAACGTTCGCTTGACGCTACCTAAAAAAAAGTTCGAAAAAGTGACACAGAATTTTAGAAAAATATTCGGTTCCGTAAAATACGGATTTCCGCGTACCTATACACATGTGTATGTATATGTATATGTATATATATATATATATATATATATATATATATATATATATATATATATATATATATATATATATATATATATATATATATATATATACATACATATATATTTATATATATACATATATATATATATATATATATATATATATATATATATATATATATATATATATATATATATATATATATATATATATATATATATATATATATATATATATATATATATATATATATATATATATATATATATATATATATAGAGAGAGAGAGAGAGAGAGAGAGAGAGAGAGAGTTTTAGAATTATACAAACGAGAGAGAGAATAAATATATTTTTTTAAGCGAGATTAAGAGATAAAAACACCTCTAGATAAAAGTTATTTAATTAAGCAAGAGATGCCAAAAAAATTGCAGAGTTAAAGCTCGAACCAAATTGCAAGAAAAAAGACGTAGACCTTTTCCTATTAAAATTTCTTTAAATTGTGAAGAAGTTGTTGATGATAGTGTAAATAAAGAGTCTCCTCTAGGTGTAGGTATTTTAATAAACACTGATACTTTGTAAATGTTGCAAATAAAAATTGCGCTTGTGATACTGCTGTAAATATCTCAACATTATATTCCAAAATATAATAAGTTGATGTAGTTGATGTAGTCTGCTTATAATAATCCACTATCTGGATATAGAGTTGTAAATGTAGAAGAGTTATCTGATATTTTTAAAGAAATCACTTTTCTTTAAAAATATCAGATAAAATCTTTTGCGTTGTCTGACAACTTTAAAAGATCCATATGGAATTAAGAGATAGCACAATTGATCATACATTTGGTTGCATAGTTATTTTGGTGTTGCAATTAGAACTATTGTAGGTGATTTAGCTTCTATGAAAACAGATACCCTGGCATCCCTTTATCATGTTGCCTCAAATAAGAAGAATAATCTGCATTTTCCACAATGCCTAATAGAAGCTAAGAATTGGTGCAAATATAGTTCAGATAGAGCCCATGGCACAAATACTTATAAACCTGTACCAAGTTTACCAATAAATATTGTTTATAAAATCAAACCAATCTTATAGGAATTCAGTGCTGACAAACAGTTGGAAAATTGCTTACATGGTAAGACACAAAATGCTTATGAAGGTTTTAATAGCACAATCTGAGAGTGCTTACTTAAAACAAATTTTATATCATTCGATTGATTCTAGTTTGGTCTTGCATGCTAATTTAATATTTATTGAAAAGCCTCAATTTTAGTCTATGAATCTCTGATGATGATTCCAGAAGCATATACTCCTAAAGGTTGTAAAAATTTGAACTATAGATGCCAAATACGGAAATGTTGATAAAAACATGTTGCGACGAAAAATTATTTGTTGGAAAAAAACATAACAAGTATGATAAAGAAGAAGCAAAAGAAAGAAAGTTGTATTAAGCAGGAAATTTTTTTTACTTCTTATTAGATTTTTAACTATAGTATTATTTTTGACCCAAACTTAACCTGTTTTAAAGTGATATTTTGTCATTTTATTTTTCATTTCACATGTTCTCAAAGTAGTCTTTTTTTATTGAATTAGAATGGCGCCTGCCATTATAATTCAATAACCGTTTTACCAATTTTGATGAAATTTTCAGAAGTTGTTTCTTACATAATGAGCTATGTTTTAATAGAACAATTTTTTAATCTGAGTTTTAGATTTTGTTATTTTAAATAAAAAATATTTTCGCTATCTTTGAATGTGAACCCACCGCTTAGTTACAGGGAAATGCCTCTTAAAACACCCTTTGTCCTTTTGTGAAGCATTTGGTAAAAGGTTATAATGAGATCTTGCCAGTTTTTGCCCATTTATATGTTTTTTGTGGTTTCTATGGCAACCAAAGACCATTATGTATTTTTTTTTCAAGAATTTTGTTTATTTATATTATATTGTTTTATATTCTTGATTTAGTTTAAAATGTTTAATACTTCTGTTTAGGGGGGAGGGGGGCTTTCCCTTCAAAGCTTCTTAAACGATTTTTGCTTAGATAAATGAAAGTAAAGAATGTAAACACAAGAATGTAAATTTCAACTTAATTTATCTATGTATATACATTTTTAAAATTATTTGATTAAATGTTATTATTTTCCACGGAAAAGCACAAAAAAAAAAAACATATTTAAAGACTAATATTTCTACATGATTTTTTATTTAAATTTGTAGCAAAGGGTACATTCAATGACTTTTTATGATGACGCAGAGTATGCATTTTCTGCGCCCATTTTGCGCCTTTTTGTTTTATAAATAGTTTTAAAAATAAAAATTAATAAAATTATTTTGATGCTATCCGATTTTAAAAATTAGATTGCAGAGCCGACGACACCGGTGTGAGATAAGGTTGGGGATAGCACGTGTCCCCCTTCTTTTTTTTAAAAGAAAAATCTAGATATGGAGGACTTTTTTTTCAAATTGATAATTGTGCACCACCCCCCTCCCAACCCCTAGGTGTTGGAAAGTTACTTCTTTTGAGTCTCAATAAAATAAAAATTTCAAAAATAATAAATGTTTAAAACAAAAAACCAAAAATTATGAAAACACTCAATAGAGATAAAAAAAAAATTTGCTACAAAATTAAATTTTTACGCAATAAAAGCTAAGTTTTTATTATTAATTGAAATTATTTTAACGCAATATTATACACAATTATTTAACCGTAGATACACATTTTTTTTTTAATGTAAAATTTTACTTAGCTACAAAATGATTCCCTTCAGTTTTACATGTATTTAAAAAAAATCAATTATTTTATTAAAATTAATTTAATATTTACTAATATCCTAGATGAAGACCGCAGAAAACGAGGGATCACGAAGGTTCCACATCAAAATATTATTGAGTGTAATCAATAGATTATAGAGTGTCGATTAATAACAAGTTAAATCGATTAAAACAACATTAAATATTTTATGATCCAACGGCTAAAGCTAAAAGCTCTTTATTCATTTCTTTAGCGCTTGGAATGTCAACAAACTCCCAGAATTCTTCAGCACTGAATATAAGATCTCTGCATATGGGGCAAGAGTGCGAACCGTTATTCCTTTAAAGAATTTAAAAATATTAAGAACATCAGAGAGAAAAAGCTTTTATGCTAAATATATTATAGCTATAATAAATTTATTAAAATTTTTTATAAAATTATAAAGTTTAATTGAATAACTACACTATAACGTTTTGTAACGTATGACACAGTGCAAAAAATAATAATATAACTTAAATTAAGCTAGAACTGCATAAATTGAATCTGTAACTTAATATATAATAAGCCAATAGCAAGTGTCAACTTCTAAAAATATTCCCCCCCCCCCCCCCCCCCCTTACACACATGGTTAAAATAAAAATACAAAAGAAAAACTTTTATATTTTTTATTAGAACTTATATAAAACTTTAATGAATTTAATGTTTGTTTGTTTTTCAATTTAGTTTACCATTAATACCTTTGTCATACAAAATGATTGATTTTCCTCTGGCTTAGAGAGCCACTAAGATTTTGTCAATCTTTCAAGGAATGGCATAATTAAGTCCAAAAGTCATACTTTTTGAATTATGGATTTTTAAAGTATGGTTTTTAGTCCAAGATTTCTCGAGATGTAATTAAATGCATTTTTTCAATCAGCTTTTACCGCCAAAAGATCAAAATATCGAAGTAATAAAAAAATGTTTGTTTTAAAATCAAAATAAAACATTAGGTAATTTAACTTCCTCTAAATTGTTCACAGCTGCTAAGCATTTTTTAATCACATTCAGAATGTTTCTAAATTATCTGCTTTTTTTTAAAGCTAAGCCATGTTAATTTAAACTTGACATGTATCGGTTGACCAAACTAGATTATGCTCTAACCATAAAAGCTTATGATTTAATTTAATATAAAATATTTATTTCTAAAAACTTTGGTTCTAACCTTAATATGTTATGTTCTAACTATAAAAATTATATTATAACAATAAAAAGTTACGTTCTAACCATAAAAAGTTACGCTTTAACTGTAAAAAGTTACGTTCTAACATTAAAAAGTTACGTTCTAACATTAAAATGTTATGTTTTAACCTTAAAATGTTATGTTTTAACCATAAAAAGTTATGATATACCTTAAAAAAACTATAACCATAAAAACTTACGTTCTAACCATAAAAAAAGTTGCAAGCAGTAACATTTAGCATAACAAGTATTTGAGCAAATAATGCACATTACTTTAAAATAAATATATTGTAATACAGATAATGAAACAAAAAAAAAGTAAAAAAACACTTCTTTAGTAGATTTACTTAAGAAATAATCTACCAATCTACTAAAGTGTTTAATTGTATGTTTTAATTGTTACTTTTTGGTTTGAATGACACCTATACTTATATTTCCCATTTTAACGTTTTTTCTTTTTGTTTTTACTTTTTTTTGTACCAAATCACAATTATTTTTAAACAATGTGTTTATATTACGGTAATAACAATAATAACAATTAAAAACTATGATATTATTATAACTTATTATAAAAAAACAAAACAAAAATACTATAGTAAGGTTCAAAAAATAATCTGCAAAAAATTGAAAAATGTTGAACAAAAATGTTTTTTTTTTTCCACATGATTTAGTAGAGCAAGTTTTTATGAATGAAAATTCACTTCTCAGGACCTTGATTAAGAGCTGAAAAAAAGAACTTTAAAAAAATTATCAGCAGAAGTGGGAGAGAAAACTGTCATAGATTAACATTTAGTTGATTGTAGAACTGTGCTTATTAGAAATATGTACAAACTAACCGATGTTGATTCTGTTTGAAAAGCAAAACACGGCTAACAATCTTAATATTCATTACAAATTTTTAAACATTAAGACAAGTTTAGCTGTTCATCATTTGAAACAAGTTGTCTTTAAATAATACTTAGGCGTTTCATTCCATTCCCAGCAATTTAAATCATAAAAGGACGCAAACAAAAATTCATCTACACCAAAAACTATTTTATTACTGATCCATAAACCTATTAGGCAACCTATCCCCAAAAAAAAAGCCTAAAAACAATCCCAGCAAAATCGGGACAAGATGGGCAGCAATTAATTAACACAAGAACATCACAAATGAGAATATCAGTAAAACGCCACAAGAATATCACAACACGATCATTTAGAAGAATAACACGATAACGTGAAAACACGATTACTTAAAATAAAACGTGAAAAAATGATCATTTAAAAGAATAGTGTGATAGCTTGAAAACGTGACTATTTAGAAAACTACCATGATAACGTGAAAAAATGATCATTTAGAAGAATAACGTGATAAAGTATCATTTAGAAGAATAACGTGATAAAGGGGTAGCAGTAACAGTATCGAAAACAGCCAAACTGATTAATCTCGAAATTGGAATTTCCAGAATAACATCGAAATAGAGAATAACATCGAAATTGTAAAAAAAGGAATTGTATCGAAAATCCGAAATATAGAATAACCTCGAAATTGTGAAAAAAGGAATAATATCGAAAAGGGACTTTTCGGAATAATATCGAAAAAGAAAACATTTCAAATTTGTTAAAAAAGGATTAGTATCGAAAATCCTAAAAGCAGAATAATCTCGAAACAGCTCAAAAGAGAATAATATTGAAAAAAGACTTACGGAACAATATCGAAAGTGTGAATAAAGGAATAGTATCGAAATTTCAAAACGGAATTAGATCGAAATTGTAAAAAAAGGAACAATATCGAAACGGGACTTTCCGGAATTATATCGAAACTATGAAAAAAGGAATAAAATCGAAAAAGGACTTTCCAGAATAATATCGAAAAGGTGAATTTTAATAATAGGTTTGAAAATTCCAAAAGCAGAATAAATAGACGGCAGTTTTTTGCGGTTTTTAATTAAAGTGTAGTAATTACACTGTATAATTGTATAATTTAAACAAAAAGCTCTATTAGTAGAACAAAAAATATTGAATGTTGTGTTGTTGGCTATTTATAAAACGATTCAAAACAAAATGTATTGATTTTATTTACAGTAGGCACTTCACACGATTTTACTATTACAATTATCTCTTGTTATAATTAATACCATTATATGCGGATAATGAAGAAGCTTTCAGAATGTGTTCATTTTTTAAATTTGGATAACTGGTTTCCAAGTTATGACAATCTATGTTGGGCTCAATAATGCCTATTTGGCGTCAAGATTTGTTGAGTTTTTCTTAAGGAATTATGGCACTAAATTTTGATAATAAATTTATTTTCCATATGCTATCAAGAAGGAATTTCATTGATGTATTTATGCTGAATTATTTTTATTGTTTTCTTTTTTACTAAAGCACTCAATTCTACAAATTATCATTCTCATATTAGGGGAGCCTAGGTAAGAATTCCACTCCTCGTTTACCCATTTGGGGCAATTGGATCAAAAGCTATAAAAGCTTCGTTTAAACCGTAAAAATTAACTTTAGATAAAGAAATAGAGTTTTTTCAAACGGTCAGGGTAAACAAATTTATTAACATTTATAAATAACAAGAAAATATTAGGTCTAATTTCTTCTACAGAACTTTGATTGTTCTTGGCCCAATCGCCCATTCAGGACAACAAGGTAAAAATGTAAAAATACACAAAGCCCGTTTTCCCATTTTGGGGCAAATTGGCCCAAGAGTAAAAAAAACTCTGTTAAAACTATAAAAATTAACTCAAGTTAAAGAAAAAGATCTTTTTCAAACTGTCAGAGTAAAGATTCATTTACATTTATAAATATCAAGAATATATGTAAAAATCTAAGAAGAAACATTTTTCGGGAGCCGTGACGTTAAACTTATAAAAATAAGCAAAAAAAAATTCTGAAAATTTTTTAGTAATAGCTCAAACCCTAAATAAGTAAAATTTGAACTCTATTTTATGAAGTGCACCACCAATTTTATGAAATATCATGCAAATAGTTTTGTCGTTAACATGGAAATGTGAACGAAGAGTCACATTATACTAGAACTTTATCATATTTTAATTTTACGCGTTGCAACGCGTTAAAGCGAAGTATGATTAAACTCACAAATTCATGTTAATGACAAAACTATGAATATAATATTTCACAAAAGTGGTGGTGCACTTCATAAAATACCGTTCAAACTTCACTTATTTTCAAGCTTCTTTATCCGCTTAAATTGTAAATCAAATCCAAGTGACGCAGTTATATATAATGTTATTTATCATTTGCAACAACAATGTTGTTTTTATCATAAATAACGTGTTGTATCTTAGAAATATTAGTGACATCTTTTGGAAATAATAAAAAAGTTCGCCTTTGTTTAAATGCTTGAAAACATTTGCCCTTTAGTGATTTTTTAACAAAATGATTTTAGGCCCACTGCACAGTGGGCCAGAAACATGAAAAAGTGATCAAAATTAATAACTACATATAAAATCAATTTAACAATATTAACATTATAAAATCAATTTAACAATAATTATATTAACTAAAACATAATATTACAACCATTTAAATTTTCTTCAGGTTACTCACTTTCAAAAAAGATTAAAAATTTTTGAATTGTTAAAGGTTGGTTTTGCTCATTTTTTTAATTTTTGCTCACTGCTGGCCCACTGTGCACTCCTTGAATGTTAACTAAATATTTTATGTAAGCAAAACATAAAATTCCAAAAAGAACTATTAAACACTTCCTTTATAAAAAAAAATCGTCCTTACTACAAATTCTGATAGAGGGGGAGGGAAAATGCCTTGTTGACCCCTCCCCTATGACGTACCCAATGTAGATATATCCCCATGTTGTAGCCCATGTTCAATTATACTTGTTAATATATTATTCGCAAATTATATTCATAAAAAATTTTGTAAGGCGTTTTAGGAAACTCGACTAACTTGAAGAATTATTAGTATATATATACTAGTGAATAAAATATATGAAGTTTATGTAAGCAAAACATAAAATTCCAAAAAGAACTATTAAACACTTACTTTATATAAAAAAAAAAAATTATCAAAATATATTAATGAATAAAATATATGAATTTACTAATCTTCTAACAATTTATTTTATGTATAAAAGGTTATTGATTGTACTTTTTATAAAAAGTACAATCAATAACCTTCTATAAATATACAAGCCCATATCGTAAAGATTTTGAGGTTAGGTTGGTCATTTCGGAGAAAATTGTGGTCAAGAGAATAGAAAATCTTAATTAATTTTTATAACGTGAAACTAAGAGCATTTGGTCAAAAAAAAGACGTCAATCGCTCACGATTATCTCCTCTCTTTCCCCACCCCTACCAACAGTAAGGACGTGATAAATTTAATAGAAACTAGCTTTTAATAGAAAATTTATATCAATAGCAACTCTTTAAACAAAATGCATATTTATTATAAAGCAAATTAAGGATGAAAAATCCTTTTTTATAGCTGTTTTGTGCTGGTCTGTAAAATCTGGGTCTGTGTTTTATATAATCTATAAGGTGTTATCTTGGAAAGGAAATATTTTCAGCATATGGTTTTCACATATTTTTTGACAAGCTCTTTCCAATTGTATAGTTTTTTGTTAAATTTCTACATATTTTTTTCCTGACTGTAACAAGTTATGATCCCGGCCAAAAATTTTTTAGCACTCGTTTTCTTCTTCTTAGTTTTAACCTAGTTAAACAAGTTAAAAGCTAGCTAGACAAGTTAAAACCTAGTTAAAAAACGTTAAAAGGAAAAAGTTGCTTCTAACACGCTTGTGCACAGGAAAGTGCTAATCGTAACATACTAACCCTCACGATAAGTCTTTTGTTGATACTGTCACTTGCTTCAAGGAAACTTATTTAATTTTGCTAGACAAGCAGCTGTAGAATTTTATGCTACATTTATCTATACAATAACTTTAACATGTAAATGACTATTGTTTCTAGGGTGATGGAATTTATTTAGTACTTATCCTTAACGTAATATGGGGTTTGCTCAACTGAAACCAATACAATACGCCAACTTACGGAAAATCTTGTAGGCCCAAATGGAATTTAAAGTCATTTATGTAAACTAAAAAATGACGTTATTGATTATTTTTTATTCCAGGCGGAGCAATAGGAAAAAAATTATACCGCTTTTATATAATAAATTTTTTAAAATAAATTTAAACAATTGTGTGACATTCTAGTTTTGAAAATATAGGTAAAAGGGAAAATTTTACTAAATCATTGAAAAGGTTCAATTATAGATGATATTGGTCCTCCGCAAGTGGGACAATGAGCTGTGTTGCTTTTTTGGACTTGTTGAATGCAGGGATGACAAAACAAAAAATGTCTGCAAGGCATTACTAATGCATTTCGTTCATTGACGGTACAAACAACGCACTTCGGTGACTCTTTTGAAGTAGAAGTTGGCAAAGGAAGACTCTCACCAACCTCGTTTATTGAGTTTTTATCCAAAGCACTAAAAATATTTAAAAAATTCAAATACAATTTTCCATATTTCATGAAAAATAACAGATTATCAAATAAAGTTAAACTAATTAGTTTGTTAAAAAAATTGATAAAGGTTAATAAATAAGAAGTGTTATACAAAAACTTGGAAAATTATCTTACACTACTTTGAAGTTTTGAAAGAGATATGATGCTGTTGATAGGAATCTCTCAGTTGTCCAAACTCCGTCTCGAAGTTTTTTCTCAAAACAACGCATTTTTTCAATTGCACCATAATCGCGTTGGTCACTGGCTGATTGAAGGCAAGCTGTTGAAGCTCTTGAATTGTATGGACTATTACATGCTGGTTAAGCAATTTCATAAACTGCCAAAATCCTCTATGTCGATCACCCATGTTTGATTTCAAACATCTATTGAGACTCTCTGCATTGTTATTGGTTTTGTGGTTCAAGCCATAAACACTGAATCTTTCTGGGGTCACTATATTGAGCCAATAACTCTTAAAATACCTTTTAAAAGCAAATAGTTTGATTTTGATTTCGCGACTAAATTGTGCAATCTCAATAACTCGAGATCCCCAAGCAACCAAGATCTTGTTTGCAGGAAGAAGATAAAGTGCTGAAACTTTTCTTGCCCACTTCTATACTTGAATTTGGGGGCGGTATTCCCTCTGAAGACCAAGAATTGCTAATTGCTTGGTGATTGCATCTTCGAAATGAAACCTAAAGATAAGGGTTTAAAGGAGATCATTAATTGAACAAACTCTGAAAAACTTGGATAACTTAGAAACTGGAAACTAAGTAATAACAAAGTAATAACTTATACCTGCAACCATTCACCAAGCTTTCACTCCAAGTTGTTTTTAAAGCATTCTGTAGTCCTCGTTCAAAATCTGACATAATGGTGACTGGAGAGAAATCTAAAATTTCTTTTATTTTGTAAAAAACAAGCTTGTATAGAGCCTCAGATTTCGATGTCTTAAAGCGCATACAGCTGGAACAAATATTCCCCAAAGGTGAGGGTTATCAGGATCAAAATTCATCTGATCCTCAATCGGAATTGGATTTTCAAGTACTGTTGAATACTCAACAGAAAATATCAAGAGCTGATACCACTTACTTTCCTCCATGCGTGGTGTCATGCTGGAAGTACAATAAATGTAACTATAATTTACAACTGTAAATAAAAATGTTCTAACTAACATTTTTAATATATCACTTTTTTCGTCTACGGGCTGTCCATTAATAACGTTAAAAAAATAAGGAAGAAGGTGTCTAAATTTTTTTGAAAATTTTTGCTAAAGGTGAGGGGAGGAGGTCAAGTAAAGTTGACATCAACAATGTTGCTTTATTTTTTTAATTTCGTTACTCAAAAAAAGAAAAATTTGTCTGCGTTTTTAGCGCAGCGTCTTTATTTAGGGGAGAAGGGTTATCAAAAATTGACGTAACTTTATAGGGGAAAGAAGTGTCTCTGGAAATTTAACAAATCGTTGACATGGGGGAGGGGGTAATGTAAAAATAGCCAAAAGTTTGTTGATGTAATTAATGGACAGCCCCCTAGATAAATATATGTTCTTCTAGAACATATATTTTTTTGAAAAAGTTAAATGCATACGTATAAATATCTAAATGTTCCATCAACAAAACACACTTTGGCCGATTTCGCCTTGTTGATGACTAGCATATGTCCAAACAGCAATGCTAAGTTATCCTGTTCTGCAACTGATCCCAAGAAAATGTCTCCATAGCGATGGCACTCTTTGTCGTTCAGAACCTCAGCAGCTTCATTAGGTGATTTTGGGTTTGAAGGCGCATTTAGCCTTCTCCTTTTCTGAAGACTTGGGATAATTTGACGAAAACTAACAGATTCAGAAACAACTGCAGGAAACTCACTCAAAGTGTTTTGAAAAATTAAGCACAGGTCTTCAGATGTTGCTTCTGCTTTTTTCTTCATGGTACTTTTAGCAAGCAGCACTTCAAAGTCTGTTTCTCTTGAACTGCAACTATGAACAGTTGTAACCTGAAGTTTATCTTCATGAATAAAAGCTCTGCCTTTGCAGTTCATTCTTGTAAAAAAATGACACTTAAGATGCAGTTTGTCTTTGGTGTATAGAAAATCACCAGACCAAAACACATTTGAATTTTTTCTTTCTCCTTCAGTTTCATTATAATTTTTTGATAAGTTCTCTAACGATATTTTAGAATATTGAGTTTCTTAAAAGTTTCTTAAATTTTAAGTTTTAATTCGAACAGAATTTTATTGCACGTGCAAATTAAACTGTTTATTGCGCGTACAAATTAACTGTTCATTTAAACTGCTGTTCTCCATTGTAGCTAATGCAAACTTTGTTAAGCTGATGCGATATTAGGGTGAAAAATTAGGAAATATTCATCGAACTCTTAAATAAGTTTCTTTTTGAAAAGTGACTTAGTATTAAAAATTTCTTAAGATTTTCTCCTAGTACTAGTTTTTTATAAAATAAAAATGTGATCATAAAATCATATTTTTGATGTTAATCATTAAAAAGAATTTTTGACAATTAAAAATTTTCGATCTTATTCCGTTTTTATTGTTTTCGACATTAACCAGAAAATCTTATTTTTAATGTTAATCATTAAAATGAGTTTTCGATCTTATTCTGATTTTATTGTTTTCGACATTAATAAGAAAATCTTATTTTCGATGTTAATCTTAAAAATGAGTTTTCGATCTTATTCCTTTTTTATTGTTTTCGGTATTGTTCCACATTTGTGAATTTCGATATAAAAACTTTTCGACATTAATCAGAAAATCACATTTTCGATGTTAATCAGTTAAATGAGTTTTCGATCTTATTCCGTTTTTATTGTTTTCGATATTGTTCCAAATTTGTGAATTTCGATATAAAAACTTTTCGATATTAATCTGAAAATGACATTTTCGATCTTAATCATTAAAATGAGTTTTGGTCAGTTATTTTTCGATACTAATCATTTTTTCGATCAGTTAATTTTCGATATTATTCCGCTTTCCCTGATAAAATATCATTTAGAAGAATAACGTGATAAAGTATTATTTAGAAGAATAATGTGATAAAGTATCATTTAGAAGAATAACGTGATAAAGTATCATTTAGAAGAATAACGTGATAAAGTATCATTTAGAAGAATAACGTGATAAAGTATCATTTAGAAGAATAACATGATAAAGCATCATTTAGAAGAATAACGTGATAAAGTATCATTTAGAAGAATAACGTGATAAAGTATCATTTAGAAAAATAATAACGTAAAAAGTAAATAACTAGAGCAAGGAAAAAAAGAGAAAATTTTGAAGATTGAAACAATCTGAAGTTTTGACAGTTCAAACCTTTATTTTGAGAAGTTTGATTTTTATTTTTTAGATATTAGATTGTTTATTTATTTAGAGAAGTTTGATTTTAAGAAAAGATTTTTCATTAAACCAATTTGTATGCAAAGGGAGAGTTAAATAAAAGTGTAGAGGTTAGAGAAAAAGGGATGTCAAAGTTTCAGATTTTACATTTTTATAAATGGTTTAAATGCTTTTTTTTTTTTTTTTTAATTATTCACCTCACCAAGGCCCGTGGGGGCCACTACAGTCGAGGAGGCTACTCATTTTTTTTGTTGTAAATCGTGGTACAATCCTCTCTCAACTCTTTAACTCCGAAACACGAACCTTGACAAGCAAGGCTGCTGCGCGGAGAAATTAAGTTGAGTGCGGTACTTCCAGGGACATGGTGGGAGTCGAATTCCGAACCTCTCGCTTACAAAGCGAGCGCTCTTACCACTACACCACTACCGTATTTATAAATGGGTTCTAAATCTTTAAGCTTTTAAGCTTTATAAATGGGTTCTAAATCTTTAAATACAAAAATAAAAAGTTAAAAGTAATATTTTATGCTACAATTTGAGGAGATATATTATGTACAATGAGATACTATTAAATACAAAAAATTATAAAACCTTTGGAATTCAGTAATAAATAATATGTGAAAAGTTTTCTTGTATGTTTCTATTCTAAAACATTTCCCTACAAATTAATCTCTTACCATTTGCTAATACACTGAGCACAAAAGCTATGCGCACATTTCAAAGAAACTTCAATTTTGTTATCCATGCAGATCATACATTCATCAATATTTTCACTGACTTCTGTTAGTCTTTAAAAAAAGAATTAACTTTTCCCATTTAATAAAATTTTCTATTAAAAACTTCATTTACAAAAACAACTACTTTCATGAAAAAATACTTTTTTTTTTGAAAAAAAAATCTCAAAATTTTTATGTAAACAATTGATGTTTTGAAAAGAAAAAAGGAAAATGATACATTTCATAAAAATAATATAAATAATATAAATTTTCAAATGACTAATTAAACCTTTAAAAATTACCTTTTTAAAACAGTTGAAAAAGTAAATCTTTCAGGAAAATCAACCTATTTTTAAAATTATAAACATTTTATGAAACTTGACCACTCTAAATAGTTATAAATGGAAATGTAATGTAATAAGATTATGGTTTGCATGTTACATTTCTAATAAAAAGATTTTAATCTAAGCATTTTGTATCGGTATGTCGTTTTGAGACATATATGTTTTTTGATGGTTCCTACAGGAAAATGATCTGAGGAATCAAAATCGGTTGGGAGCCAGACGGCATGTCTGTTGCATCATCTGTTGGGCATTTTACAAAAGCGCACTTTTTTCCCAAGATGGTGGCCAAAATTACAAATTCTCCTAAATTGACTTGTAATCATCATACAAAGCTGTATAATGTCTTCCATCTTACATAAATAGTATGAAAGATTACATTTTTATCTATTCTACATTTATTGAAGTCCAACATGGCCACCAAAATAATAAAAAAATTCAAAATGGTTGCCAAAAAAGTTAATTTTTAAATATATCCAAAATATCTTGCAGTAAGAAATTTAAGATTATAATTGATATAATATAATTCAAATTAAAATGATTTAAAAAACTTTATTGCCTTTGAGGTTTATTGCTAGCCACTCCTTTGAGGTTTATTGCTAGCCACTCCTTTGAGGTTTATTCCTAGCCACTTCTTTGAGGCTTATTGCTAGCCACTCCTTTGAGGCAGTATTGTAATGATTACTTATAATGAATATTTGTTAACGTTGTATAATCTGGTTTAAATTTAAACAACTTGCACCTTATCTACATTTGTAAATAAACGGATGACATTCTTAATTATAAACTTTAAAATTAAAAAATTATAAAAAAATATAATAATAAAAATAACAGCGGTGTAACGCTTAACGTAACGTTTAACTTTAATACATTCTATCACAGATTTTTCAACTAATTATAATTTTGTAAGTAAGTATATAAAATTGTATTCATTTTGTAATTAGTTGTTCATTTATTTTATCATTTTATATCCATCATCTTATTAATGAATGTTGAATAATAATAACAATAATAATAATAACAATAATAATGCTTAATATTAAAGATGCATTTATTAGTCTTAACATGATGTGAATTTTGTTTCAAATATAGAAAACAATTTTAAATAATTATTCTTTATGGAAACATGAAATATATAACTTATTGTAATAAAAATTTTTTTTCAATTTATTAATATTATTATTTACTATAATTTATAATTTATTAAAAGTTTATTATAATAAAAATTATAATTTACCCTTCTAATATATTATGTAACATTGTATATTAACATTGTATATGCACTATTTAGGTGATAATGGGATACCTTATTTGTGGTGCTGAGGACAACAACTTGATTATCTCCAAAAGAGTAGCTGGTCTGCAGAATGCTAGCACATAGCGGGATATGGATTGATTTTGAAATTGGGAAACGATGCCAACAATTTTATGACCCATACTAACTGTATCAAAACATATTGTTCAAAAAGATTTGTGGTTAAGCGTCAATATGAGCACGAGCAAACTCTGGCTTTAGAGTCCGATAAAAAACCTTTGAGAGGAAATGATTCTTTCAACTTTCTTATGAGTTGTTTATTCTTTGGAGAAAAATGCTTGTTAGAACAAGACAATAAACACCATGATTGATGGAGAGAGGCATATCTTTATTGCACTGTTGATAGGCAAGGAAAAACAACCTTCAAGCAATCCATTCTGTGAAAGCTTTAGAGTGTGATGACGAATGGACATGAGATGTTATTACTCAAGTAAATGGAGCAGTAAGTGATTTACATGTAGCTGATGGGAGATATCATAAAGACTGTCATGCTAAGTTTTTCCCCAATAGTCCTCCTTTATTTGCCATTGGAATGCATGAACATGCCTTGGAGATGGCCAAGCAAAGTTTGATTGCAAACCATAAGCCCATCTGGAATAGTATCAAGATTTTCAAACCCAGTGGAACCCAGTTTACATGCTGTTCTCTTTTTAAATCTCTTAGCAAAATGTTCAAACCGGATCTGCTTGTGTTGTCATGTTCTGGAATTGTTTTAATTCTTATTTTTCGCAAAGAGGTTTCGGCAAAATTGTGTATAGCAGATGATTGTGACAGTGATTTAATGTTTGTTTTACATCCACCATGGCCAAATTAACTAGATCAAAATCTAAATGTCAAGTCAAATTATTACGATGTTCACATACCCATGGACAAATTTGTAGAGAATTGCAGCGACACACTGATGATTGGACAACTCGAAACCTGCAGCCATTATATATAATATTGTTACAAGTACCGTCACAAAGCATTTTACTTCATTACAACTTTCGTTGACAGCACTATTCTACCAGTAATAAAGAGACTGCAAGTAAACAAAATCAAGTCAGATGCTCTGCAACTATGAGAAATTGAATTTCAAGGTTCAAAGAAGTCAAAGATACCAGACAAGATTGCTCAACGCTATGTTCCTACTCTAGCAACTCTGGCTTAAAAAAAATTTTCCATAAACCGAGCTGTTGAAGAAGATATCTTATTTTTGAAGACAATAATGATTAACATTAACACACCGGAATACAACGGATTCAACATGCAACATGCCAGAGAAAGTGGTCAACGGCCAACAAAAATGACAACAGTTGTTTACAATCCTTTTATTGACATCCCACCCACTGAACCAAACACTATGAAAACTGCTGGAATTCAATGCGTTCTGCCATCTTTTCAAGAAAAATGTTGGGAAAACAACACGTCACACTAAAGCTACACAGTTTTCAGCCAACACAGGCTGTATTCAGGTTTCACTGTGCCGGAGCACACTTCTAAACGGCGATTTGGAGATCTGCTAATTTACCTGATCCACCTTAAACATGTGGCTAACATAAAATGCCCAACAGATGGCATAGTGTAAAATGCCCAACAGATGACTCCCAACAGATTTGGACTCCTGAGGTCATTTTATTATAGGAACCATCAAAAATCTTTATATATGTCTCAAAACATTGTGCCAAAAAGTTTACATTGATCAATGCCCAGACTATTACTAATAAAAGTATCTGTTTATTGATGTAACTAAAAATACACACACAAAAAACAATTAAAAAAATGAAAAAAATAAGACTATTAAAAAAAATTAAAAAACTCATTTTTTATTATATATATTATTTACATGCATACATTTTGTATATAAATAAATAAATTATTTTTTATGCTAAATATTTTAAAAATGACAAACTTAATTAAAAAAATAAGATATTCAAAACATTAAAAAAAAATTTTTTTGTAAATGTTTTAACTTTATTTTATTAAAAAAAAACTTTGTATATAAAAAAAGTTTTATAGATGGTTTTGTCCGAGACAATGTTAATAACAAAATATACTAATAAATTTGTAATATACTAATATGGTTATTATATTGCAAAACGTTTTCTCATGGACTGGTTTTCTTTAAGCTTGTTTCTTTAAACCTAGTTTTTTGTGACATTCTTAAAAATTAATTTTTCATAAATTGGTTTCATAAAAAAGTGTATCACTTACATCATGTTGGGAACTTAAATCCATTGTTGCCCGAGGATGTTCCTCCTCAGAATCAATATCAGAATGATTAACAATTTCAAACCCATCACTTATTAAATTGTACTTAAATTTTACTTCACAGAGCAATGAAGCACGAAGTTTCCAGAATTGGTGTAAATTTAAAACACGTGCAACTTTAATTGTATTTTCTTCGACATCGATCTGTATGTAAAAAACCAAATTAAAAAAGAGTTAAAAACCAGAAAAATGATGTTATAATTAAATGATTAAAAAGAAAAAAGTGAAAATGAAAAAAGTGACTGAAAATTATTTAAAGATTTAAATTACATAACAGTGGTAATAAAGTATTCACAGGTATGAAGTTTGAAACCCTGGCACACATTAAATTCTCAATTGCAACACCCTTATTCCTCAAAGTTTGTATTTGATGGTTATTGTATTGAGAAGACTGAAAAAACAATGCCAAAGATAAAAAAGCCTCATTGACTGTAGTAACCCTCTGACTTTGTGAAGAAAATATGAAGAAATAAAAAGACAAAAGACTGATACAAGATTAACTAAAAGAATATAATATACCTTAAAACAGATAATTTTTATAAAAGCTTTCCAGAAAAAACTTTCTTCAACATTTCTCAATCCAAAAACCACTTTCTCTTTATCATTGACACAATAGTTTTCTAATCTAAAAAAAAGTTTTTTCATGAATTAATCATTTAACATTTATAATTTCCTTATTTATCATTATCATAATTACTAGCTGACTGTACCCCTAAAAATAGAAGTCTTTTATAAGTCTAATCCACATTCGGCTTTTCTATACTTTTTACTTATATAATATGGGTCTGGAAAGCTAGGACACATATATTATATGTGTCCTAGCTTTCCAGACCCATAAAATTCAGGTTTGGAAATATTTGTTCTTTACCAAACCGACCATTTCTATACCTATCTATTCCACATCTACTATTTCTATACTTATTCTTTATTTACTTCAATATTTTTTAATAAAACAATTTATTTATTGTCATAACTTCCTTAAACCCACCACTCCAAAGTCACTTCATCTGCACCTTCCACTAGTTCCAACCAGCATTCAAAAACTTTTCATATTGAAGATTACCACCTTGTTCACACAAAAGAAATAAAAACTTTTTGTGGGATCGATCAAAATTTTCAGGATGTATGGGTTAACCAAGTATAGTGACAAGTGAGTTGATCATAAACTAAAAATTTGCATCTATAGCAAACATGCATACATTATCTGGAATTTCTCTTTGGAACCAAAAATAATGTAGTCTGTTGGAAGCGAATTTTGAAAATTTCAGACACACCAGCATAATCTTTTTTGAATACTCCAAATGCTTCCTTCAGTGTGAATAGCAAATGACGAGTTTGTTTTTTCTAGTACCTTTTGCCTCTTTCTTACTTTTTTTTGCTTCTCTGTCCTTTTAGCATCATTTAAAACTCACTTTATTTAACAACATAAACATTGAATGATAAGTTAAAGCTATAATCATAAATAAAATGTTAATTATAACTTATAACAATTTCACATAAAAAATGCCACAAACAATTACAGAATAACAATAAGTTTTTAAACTGTTGTTAAAGTTTTGCATTCAGACAAAAAATATTTAAAGTAATAAAGAACTTAAATAAAAATATGTTGTATTTAGATGTATTTTGCTAAACTAATTAGCCTATATTTACAAATTTAAATTTCATTGTTATTTTATATTTTTAATGAATAAAATATCAGTGAGCCGCAGAATACTTTTTCAGAATAATTATAGAAAACATAATTTTAATGTATTGATATAATTTCAAAATATTGAGAAACTTTTTATAAGATAATCTTTACTCTTCTGATGTGGAATTGCGCAATACAATTCTTTTCTATAAATACTTTTAAATTTACAATTACTATACAATTTTATACTATAAACTCTTTCTTCAAGATTAGAAGTCACATAATGATCAATTAGTGATTTTCTTGAGTGCATACTTACATCATTTCTGACTTGAGACATCATATATTCTCCCAGATAAGCAGTATTCCATCTTCTATATCTACTTTCCATTTTTGCAAAGTTCTTTGACATGATCATAGTCTTCTTTCTTCTGTATTGAGTTTGCAAAAGGCAAAGTTAGTATCTTTTTCCATCATGGAAAAACACTGCTTTGAGACTCAGTTTGAGCTCTCTATGAACAGTAGACATTATGGAGGATCATGCTTGTGTCTAAGAGAAGTAAACAAACCAGTCACATCTTTACAATAACATAAATCATTACACAACTCAGAGTAAATTTGTAATTGTTTTTGTTGTTTTCCAATACACACATCAGTCGAAAGAAGCTCCTGACTTAACAACTTAATTCTGATTAAACTCACTATGATTAAATTATCTATCTCACTATGATTAAATTTTTTAACTCACTATGATTTGGAAAGAGTGACTGAAAAGTTGTTATTGATACAAAAGCTTCATATCTTCGCGACTGTTACTTGCTGACTCTTGAGATGAAATATTCATTACATATTCTTTCATAAATGAATAAAAAAACAACATATAGCAACTTTAACATAAATAATAATAGTGCTAAAACTTCATTAAAAAAATGCACAAATTCATATTTAATTAAATGGAAAACTTTTGAAGAGTATGATGAAAAATATATTTACATTTTGTTGTAAAAAGAAATATGCTAACATTTTGTAGTTGCAATAATGGCAGGCTGTCATCAAGAGGGACAAGTGCTGTAGATAATGGTATGTCTGGATGTTGAAGCGCTTGTCTTTTAGCTTTCTGTATTTCATAATGTAAATCTTACAAAAGTAGCAGTCATTGTGAAGGTTCTTCAGCCCTCTCCATACTCTGAAAATCTGCCAAAAGAGATTGCCTTTCTACCTCATAACTATCCTGCTAGACTAGTTCAACAGGTTCCACATATCATGTAATGGGCCCATGGTTTTTTATAATCATCTATGGGCCTATAGTGTCTTTCATAATTTTTTATAGAACCTGCTTTTTCTAATGTAATATCCACATATATAGCAAAACATATTAGGAGAATATAAACTACCTCTATTAGCCATTATGAGAGGCACAAATATTATTTATATGGATATTAGAAACTTATTTAGAGTAGCTCAAGATGTGAAAATTTTTTTGATTATTTTTAAAAATACATTTTGAGAAAGCAGAGCACATCAAAAGCCTAGACAACTTCTTTTTTTGTTTCAAAAAGACCAGCCACAGAAAAAACAAGTTTATATTATACACTACACATTCTCTTTTAAAGAGCAAAAGAAATTTTTCAGATGGAGAGTTAGAAGAATCAGAAACAATTTCGAGTATCATTTGAAACTGAAAATCTATAAGCTATGTTTTTGACTTGATAACTTTACCCTTAGGAAATTGGATTTGGATCGTGACATTTAGCTAAACTACTGGTGGTGCCAAAATGAAATTCAGATGAGAGATTAGTCTTATTCACATAGCCTGTCTTCCGTGTAAGTCATTGTTGTGTCTGTCATATGCTTTATAAACCATGAAATATGAACAATTATTTTATTGAAGAAACTTATGAAGAAGGAAATAATGACATAGAAACAGAAGCGAAATATGATGAACCATACTGCAAATCAAAACTGGTTCTTTAAGTTGGTGGAAATGTTGCTAGGGTTTATAAAACCTAAAATGTCTTCAGAATATCATCTGACTATCGTTACTACTACATTACTACTACATTACTACTGTTACTACTAAATTTACTTCTTCATTGCAACTATATATTTGCTATATTATTTGCTATGCTACTACTTCATTACTACTGCTATGTTAATACTTGGCTAAAACTTATGTTAAAAATAAATTTTAATTTAATATTTTATATTAATCATATTTTTTTATAGCAATAAAACGAAAGTCATGATAAAAATTTTTTTTTTTTTACTAATCTTTTTTAGTTGACTTTTCCGAATCTTTACAATGCAATTTTTGAAGAAATCAAGATTCTGTGGACATCTTCTGTGGATTCTGTGGACATCTAGTAGCAGTAATAACTTTTACCCTTTATAACCAAAACTGCAATGTACTTATAATCAGGTTAAATTTATTGAGTTATTTTATAAAACAAAAAAATTATAATAAGTAACCATGTTTTAAGTCACTTGTTTACTATTTTCTTGCTCTTTAACTGCCTTCATTAGTTGGAAGTGAACTTGCAACTGAAATTTTTCCCCACTAGGTTACTAAATTTATCCCACTTGGTTACTAAATTTATCCTTTACAAATCCTCATTTTTATCATTTATTTATTAAAAGCATGAGAGATTTTTATCATTTTTTTATTAAAAGCACCTCAATTCTATATTAAATACTTTGTAGCTTCTAAATTACAAGAAAGCTGCAAAAGTTTTTAAATTAAACCAAACTAACTAAAAGCCATGTTAAAGCAAATTGTAGGCAAGTAACTATTGAGTTGGCATAAAAGTATTGAGAAAATTATATTGCTCATAACTAAAAGTAATGAACAAATTAAATTGCTCATAACTAAAAGTAATGAGAAAATTATATTGCTCATAACTAAAAGTAATGAGAAAATTATATTGCTCATAACTAAAAAGTAACAATTAATAGAATTTTTAAATTGCAATTTCTGTAAACGACATAAA